TTTTTTTGTTTTTCTTAATTTTAGCATGCATGACGCAAATTTGTTTTTCTATAGTACATTTAAAAAGTCTAAATTGTATGTATAAATTATGATGCCACATTCTGCAAGCAATCAAGTTGTAATAAATGCTCTATAAGTGGAAAAATGTAGTGATGTAATGTTCTGGTAATCTGGTACATGAACTAATTTTGGCGGGTCCAATGTCATTTAATTTGCTTGCAAGTGTTATTTTCAAGATATTGTCTAGGTAATTAGATGCAGCCTTAAAGGAATTAACTTGACTGTTTTAATGTGGACATTGAAAACAATATGTGTTTCAAGTGTTATTTTCACTCCATTGGATGATTGATACGTGTACAAATATGATATCGTCATTTACACGTGTCATATATCCAACGAAGTGTAACACGAAATGGAAGTAGGAAATCTCATTCAACTCTCAAGAGCTATCTCAAGGAAATAAAATAAAATTAAATTAAAATTAAACAAGTAGTCATCCCATCAGAACAATCTTTGATCCCATCAAACTTTGTTGGGTTTTGTCAACCATATGCATATATCAAAGAGAAGTGGTTTGACAACACAAAAATAAATAAATATATAAAATAAAATAAAATAAAATACAAAGTTGAAGCTTGTAGGGGTCATGTCCCAAACAATTCCCTTGCAATTATTATGATAATATGTCCTGGATTATTTAGACCACATGCATGCACTCACATCACTGCCAACTACAGCTGGAAGCTAAGGTTATGTGAGCTTGGAAAAAAATATGTCAACAATTTTCAGTAAGGCTGGAAAAACTCTGCATTTATATACTGGGAGGGCTATAAGCTTGGAAAATTTCATAAGAAACGAAAAGAAAAGAAAAAAAACGAACATTTACAACCCCGATTTCAGTTCCCATGCTACGAATCACGAGATCAACAATTCCGCCATTAGTAAACATGGTCACTTTGTTTATCCGATTTAGCCGAATTTGGTACATTGAATTCCAAACAACAAACATTAAACCAAGAAATAATAAAGCTGGCCACTTAAATATACCACTTATACAGATCACATTTGCATTATAAGTTAAAAGCCGGTATGCACCAATTCAAAGAGAGAAGAAGCAAAAGGATTTACTAAAAAAGGCGATTATCGACAAATTAGAAACAAACGAGAAAAATATTAGACAACCGACCTGATGAATCTTGAAAAATTACCGTGCATTTTGTTGGACGACCCCACAAATGCAGTTTATCTGTTAAGAGAGATCTGCATCACTTTCTGGAGCTTTCTGCTTTTCCAGTTAGTCTCATCAAATTGTGAAGAAAACAACTCAAATGAGAAAAAAAATACATCAGAATTGAAAACAATAGGAAAATCAGCAATAGAAGTTAACTAGAAACAAATTAAAAGACGGCAGAAATTCAAAATTGATCCAATAACTTTGGGTACATATCATTTGTAGTCCACTAACTTAAAGGGTAGCAATTTGGTCCTCTAACTGAATTCCTTTTGCGATTTTGATCCCGTTTAGTAAATTTTATTCTGCATAGACTAGAAAGAAGTTTGAAGATGAACCAAGAATCAGAAGCAAAACCAATTTGTGCAGTTAATAGCTTTTGCAGCAAAACAATGAATCAGAAGCAAGACCTATAAATTAGCATCACATCTCAATCACCAATAATCACGGCATGAGCACCTTCCCGACTCGAAACAATGAAACCGACTTGAATCCCTCACGATTATTTTCCTATCGGCAATTATGGAGATGAACTTAATCGCCGTATGGCAATCTACACAAGTCCTTAGGTTCTTAAAAACCTTAATTAAGGTACCCGGTCGAGAACTTATGATACCAAATGCCACCGCGAGTTTTTCGCTATGGTACGATAAACTTTCCTCCTTTTGCTCTTCCTCCACGTCATGCAATACATAGTTCGTGTGAGGCACATAACCTTCTTCTTTCATTCTCTTGGATACTTTCCCCAAATAATCGAATATTTCTTTTGAGTTCGGGTGGGATTGGTCCCCGACCACGAAAACATGAACCTTCTTCTCAACACCGATCCAACTCATGCCGGGTTTCTTTACGACTCGATTCTCATCCATTAATTTTCTAACTTTAGCAACATCGCCCCATTTTCCGGCACTTGCATAAGTATTTGCTAAAGTCACGTAAGTAGCCGCATTTTCCGGCTCAATTTGGAACAAAACTTGAGCCGCACGCTCGGCAAGTCTGTAATTCCCATGAATTCGGCATCCACCTAGCAAAGAAGCCCACAAGAACTTGTCGGGTTTCATAGGCATTTGGCTGATGATATCCTCAGCTTCTTGAAATCTACCCAAGCGACTCAAGAGATCAACCACACAAGCATAGTGGTCTGCAGTTTGGCTCAGTCCATATATATCTTTAATCGAGTAGAAAATTTCAAGACCCTTATCAACTAGACCTGCGTGCGTACATGCTGATAAAACACCAACAAAAGTCACATGGTCAGGCTTATTACCGGATTTCAGTAAATTGTCAAACAGCTTCAAAGCTTCAAGGGGCTGACCATTTTGGGCATACCCATTAATCAAAGATGTGTACGAAACTAAATCAGGATTTGGAAGCCACTCGAACACTCTATGTGCTCTTTCTACACTACCACATTTTGTATACATGTGAACAAGTGCACTAGCCGCAAACGAATGGGGATTAAAACCTGTACGAATCATGTGGCCGTGGATCTGCCTGCCTAATTCCTCGGTCGTTTGTTGGGCGCACGCATTTAAAATACCAGAAAATGTGAACTCGTTGGGCTTGATACCCGTATTTAGAAATTCAGAAAATAAAGAGAACCCTTCTTCCCACTTTCCATCTCCAAAATACCGATCGATTATTGATGTCCAGGACACAACGTCCTTCCCTGAAGTTCTGTCAAAAATGTATCTTGCCTCGTTCAAGCTCCCACATTTTCCGTACAAATCAAATAAAGCACTCCAAACTACAGCATCAGAATCGAGGCCTGTCCTCACTATACGTCCATGAATCTCCTTTCCCAAACGCAAAGAGTGCACAGAAGCTGAGGCTGATAAAACACTGGAAACAGTGAACTTGTTATTGCACACGTTACTCTCGTTTGTCTGCATCAGCCGACAGAGCTCCAATGCATTTTCTGGCTGTTTGTGCTTCACGTATGCTGAAATCATAGCCGTCCACGAAAAGTTATCTCTCTTAGGCATTTCATCAAACAGCTTTCTCGCTTCTGAAACCCGGCCTGCTTTCGCATACCCAGATATCAACGTGTTCCAAGAACACAAGTCTCTTTCCGGCATTTCATCAAACATCTTCTGGGCATCTGATATGCTCTGGCATTTACAATACAAATCGAGAACCTTGTTCGAGATGAAAATCCCGGGCACGAAACCAGAGCTTCCCATTTGGGCATGGACGCGTTTGCCATCATCCAGAGCTCTCTTTTCAATACAGAGCTGCAAGACCGTCTTGTATAGAGATGCAGATGGGTTGTGAAGCTTGTTCTTTTCGAGTAAATTAATGGCGTCTTTCAAGCGCTTTTGTTGGCAGAGGTGAAAGATGGCATCTTGCAACTTATTGTCGTCGCTCGAGCGGTTTATGAGCCGGTTTTCCGATTGAATTTGATGCAATTGAGAGGAAAGTGAAGAGGAAAGACGAGCAGAGAGAAAAGACAAGGATTTTGTCAGATTTAATGGCTTTGGTTTCATTGGAATAGCTGAGACCCGCAGTTGATGAGAGGAAATGAAATCAGTAACCTTAGAGGAAGAGATGTATATATATTTTTTTTGGATACAAAAAGGGAGGCAAAGCCTACGAAACTATAAAACAACCTTCCGAGGATAAGCCACGTCTATCAAGTCATGATGGAGCCAAATGCCTGCCCCCGGCCGAGGAGACTCCAATCGATGAAAATCGCCCGGGCTTCGTGCCGCTAAGAATACCAAATAATCCGTCACAAAATTAGCCTTAAGAAAGGGAAGAGATATGTCGTCATAGTGTACGGCGTGTGATAATTTTTGTTGTTGGACCACATCAACAAATTGGGCCTTTGGGTCTGATCCATAAAAGTGACTTTACCCAATATCAACATAAAATGATTTTATTTTTTTTTTCATTTTATTTTCTGATAAAAATAAATTGGAGAGCCTCTAGCAACGACACCATCTTACCTTGCTGGCCTCGAAACATCATTTGCATGCGAGACATGTAGCCGTACGGACACGTGTCACCTCCAAACCCTTCAAGTTCACATAATTCACACTCTCACTGTAATAAAAAATTAACAAAAAATGCAAATGCAAAACCCAAAAAATGCAAATGCAAAACCCTCTTAGTATACCTGTCGGATTTGTAACTTTAGATCATTTATCGACGATGATTACATAATGATCTACAAATTCGACAAAACGATTTTATAACGAAAACTGTAGCATTTCCTCTTAATATCTATCACCTTACCATATGCCCCTTCCCTCCACCAAGCAACATTTTAGCTCTTTCTTTTTTTTCCCCTCTTAACATTATCAACAATTTAAGAGTTTGCAAATAAGGGTTTCATTCTTGTTTTTCTTTTCCTACAAAAATAATAATAACAATAATAATAAATAAAAAAAAATGGTTGATAAAACAAACATAGCTTCTTCTTCGAGGAACCCGGGTCGGATCTCCATGAACCTCTCGATTTCTGATGCTTGCTCCATGTTTCCCGGGTTCAAGTTTTCGCCGACCGACGAGGAGCTGATTCAGTACTATTTGAGGAAGAAGCTGCAGGGCTCGGAGCCGAGGAGCATCGAGGTTATACCGGAAATCGACATATACAAGCACGAGCCTTGGGATTTACCAGGTTTTTTTTTTTTGGTTCATTAATTGTTGTAAATTTGAGTTGTTTTGTTTTAAGTCATGTGTTTTGTGTGAGTTTGTGTGCATGGTGAAGATTCTACAGTCTTTTACGGAACCATTTCGTCAGGGTTTGTAACAGTTACATGATGATTTAACGGTTGCAAATTCTGACGGCTTTGTTGTAATGTATGTAGAGTATTAACGTTTTTTTTTTTATTTTAATAAATGAAATCAGATCATGCAATCATTCGATCGGATTGTGAGTGGTTCTTTTTCTCTCATCGAGGAAGAAAGTATCCAAATGGTTCTCAGAGTAGAAGAGCAACCGAAGCCGGTTATTGGAAGGCGACGGGCAAGGAAAGAGATGTGAAATGGGGTTTAAATTTAATCGGCACAAAGCGAACGCTCGTATTTCATCTCGGTCGAGCACCCACGGCACAGAGGACCGAATGGTTGATGCAAGAATATACTACCAATGATAAAATCGGGGTAATTCACTTCCTAATAGTAATAAAGATTTTTGTTTATATAAATGTTCACATTTTTGTTTAATTTGATTGTATGTAGGAGGGAATGGTCGTTTGTCGAATACGAAGAAATAAAGATTTTCATCTACACGACACTAGTAAGAAAAAAAATCGAGCTGCATCGGGCAGCGGAAATTCAGACGTGCCTGAAACGAACTACCTACTCGACAGTGGTAGCAGTTTCTCTGTCGACAAGACGGAAACAAGTTCGATTCAATCTGATAAACGTGTTGGTGACTGTGAACAGAAAGGTGGTGATGATACAAGTGATGAAGATAAAGGTGCTAATAATGATAATGATGATGCTATTCATGAGTCAAATAATAACAAAATTCTTCCACCACCAAAGTCAATAAAATTGGACAAGGTAAAAACTTTATTTTGACATTTGATATATTGTATATTTGATTTTATTTTCTTTTATTTTACGCTTTCGTTGCAGAATGATGCTGCGAACAACGATTGCTATGGTGATATAATGCCTCACGATATAGTTAAACTGGATGAGAATGTTGGATTTGGAGTACTGATAAAACCGGACTACGAGTTTACTCCTGTTGCAGAAGATAATTGTTACGATGATATAACAATGACAGATGATACGTTCAGACTGGATGAATATGCGGAACCTATCTCGGATATGGGAGGATTGATACCGAGTCCTAAATTGAATTATCCATCAGAAGAAGAAGAAGGATTGATAGAACCGAACACTCAAATGAGTCGTCATCCATTTCAAGGAACCGCACATCGCCGACTGAGGCTTCAAAAGGAAAGACCAAAAGTTCATCAGGGACCACATAAACTACCCAGTGGAATAGCAAAAATGTGGGAAGAACAACAAATGGAATGTTCACAGGCAGAGTCTGCAGATTCTCATAATAAACTATATAAATATTATGCTATGATAGTTTTTGTATGTTTGTTATTATTTTTTGTGGTAATAATAATGTGGTGCAAGTGAGAAATGATAATAATGCGTTGCAAGTACGAGTCCGAGCACGTTTTATATATATTTTGTTAATAGTTTTGTTAATAGTATGTGTAGGAATAATGTGTTGCAAGTAATTTTTGTTAATATTTTTGTGTCTAGTATTAATGTCTTGTAAGTGAAGGTGTATGTATATGAATAAAATTAGGTGTGCCTTGTAATTATTATATTTTTGTTTATAATTTTCGTAATAGTAATTAAAAAAAAAAAAAAAACAAAGTCGTCATACGCATTTTATGTTTTTGTTGAAAATTTGCACTAATAATGTGAGAATTTAGTTAACAATTTTGTCAAAAATTTTGGTAATAACATGAAAGTGCCCCGTTGTGGAACAGAGTCATTATATCTTGTTAATAATCAATGATAAAAACAAATCGTAAAGAAAATTTTTATATTTCGAAAACAGAGTGGCAGAACATTTCTACATCCAGTCTAAATGTCGCCTTTTTATAATTTGTTAGTAATAATCTTAAAAGATTCACTCTTTTTTATATCTCGCCTTTTTATAATTTGTTAGTAATAATCTTAAAAGATTCACTCTTTTTTATATCAGAGCCATTTTATATTTTGTTAACAATTTTGTAATAATAATATGAAAATGAAAACAATATATTTGGGTAATATAACATGATCAGGAGAAACAGAATCATCGTTGATACGAACAATTTATGAATGCTCTTAGAGCGAGCACTAACTCCAATCAATACAATAGAGAAAGAAGAGTTTAGAAGAGTTCAGAGAAAGATTCAGAGAGAAATGAGGTAAGACGTCCTAATACATCATAACTACCCATTACTCTAAAATTACAAGTATTTATCATGGTAACATGCTCCACTACACACTCCCTTATTCTTCCACGTGCTCAACGTATGACATAGTCTTTGTGCCAAAAAGGAGTCTTCCTGTCTCGGGTTGGTTTGGTTGTTGACATGGGTTGGTGCGGAGTCGGGCTAGTAACGGTTTGAGTCGTATCATCATCCCCTCTTGGGAATCAACCTTGTCCTCAAGGTTAACTGTCGGATATGCCTTACGAAATTCGTCCCAGTCCTCCCAGGTAGAATCTTCAGGTGTTGAAGATGTCCATTGAACTAAGGCCTGTGGAACAATACGGCCGTGTCGTAATATAGCACGGCGAGCACACACGGCTAATGGCTCTAGAATTGGGTGGCACCCAACATTAGTCGATGGTAGCAATCTGAGGTTTGGTGGTACATCCCCTTTATACGGTTTCAATAACAAAACATGGAAAATTGGATGGATACGACTATCAGGAGGCAATTCCAATTTATAAGCAACTGACCCAATTTTAGCCAAGATTTTGAACGGACCAAAATATTTCTTTGAAAGTTTTTGATAAGGTCGATGTGCAATAGAGGCTTGGCGATAAGGTTGCAATTTAAGAAGGACAAAGTCACCAACCTGCAATTCCAATTCTCGACGGTGGGAATTAGCCTTTTGGGCCATCCGATTTTGGGCCTGTAATAAATTTTCTCGGATTGTACTTAAGAGAGAGTCACAGTCACATAACAACTCATCTACGGCCTCAACTCCCGAGGACCCCGGTTGACATCGTGGAATGGTTGGGGGTTCTCGTCCAAAGAGTGCTTGAAAAGGGGACATTTTCAAACCACAATGGTAGCTCGTATTGTAATCAAATTCAGACCAAGGGAGATATTTGGACCAGTCAGCGGGTTTCTCATGAGTGAAAGCACGAAGGTACTGCTCCAAACTTCGATTTACGACTTCCGTTTGCGGATGATACGCAGTGCTGCGTTTTAAAGTTGTCCCGCTGAAGGTGAATAGGTGTTCCCAAAATGAACTGAGAAATATAGGATCTCTGTCTGTGATAATCGAGCTCGGAATGCCATGGTGCTTAACCACCAGGTCAATAAACACTCAGCCACCTTATAAGCAGTGAAGTTAGGCTTGAGAGGCCCAAAATGTGCCGCCTTCGTCAATCTATCAACAACCACTAAAATAGCCGAATAACCCTTGGAAAGTGATGGACCGGTGATGAAATCCATAGTTACCTCATCCCATACTAAGGTCGGAATAGCTAAAGGTTGCAGGAGTCCGGCTGGAGGTTGGGTTGAAGTTTTGATTTGTTGGCAAACCAAACAAGAAGAAACGAATTTGTCAACATCGCTTCGCATATTAACCCAATAAAATGATTGGAATAAACGAGCCAAGGTTCGTTTGACACCAACATGACCAGCAATAGGAGTCGCATGACATTCTAGCAGCAATTTGTCTTTCAGAGTCGAAGAAGACCCAATAATTGCTCTTCGTCGAAAAAATAACATGCCATCCAAGACGGTATAATTTGAGTTCAATTCACCATTCAAAAAACGATTGTGTAACTTTACCAGTTCTTCATCAACTTTGTTTTCTAGCTTGATAGCCGCCCACAAATCAAATTGCTGTTGGGAGATGAAAGCACAACAATGAACTCTTTCACTAGAAGAGTGACTTTCATGCATGCGCGATAAAGCATCAGCGGCTGCATTTGAAGATCTCGGTTTGTACTCGATAACAAAGTCAAAGCCAAGCAATTTGTACACATATTTTTGTTGCTCTGGTGTATGAATAGTCTGTTGCCACAGCTCCTTTATACTCTTATGATCTGTACGAAATATGAAAGGGCGACCGAGCAGATATTGGCGCCATTTTCGAACAGCTTCTGTGATTGTTGTTAGTTCTTTAATGTATGTAGAAGCCACCAATTGTCTACTATTCAACTTCTTGCTAAAATAGGAAATAGGATGCCCATTTTGCATTAATACAACCCCCAAGCCGACATTAGAAGCATCAATCTCAAGAATAAATTGCTTAGAGAAATCTGGTAAATGTAAAACAGGGGCTTCGATCAATTTGAGCTTAAGTTGCGAAAAGGCATGTTGAGCACCCTCAGACCAAACAAATGCATCCTTACGTAAAAGATCAGTAAGAGGATCTGCCACCGTCGCGTATCCTTTTACAAAGCGTCTGTAATAGCTTGCTAACCCGAGAAATGCACGCAACTGCTTCAAGTTCGTGGGTGGCTCCCATTGCTCAATTGCCTAGATTTTTTTAGGGTCAACTTGTACGATCCCGGCAGATACAATGTGCCCTAGATACTCGACTGTAGATTGACAAAATGTGCACTTACCCAATTTAACAAAGAACTGGTGGTGTTGTAAACGGCTCAAGACTGTGACTAGATGGTTCACATGGTCTGACAAGTGATTGCTATATATCAATATATCATCGAAAAATACGACAACAAAATCTCGAAGATATGGCGATAAAACTCGGTTCATGGTTGCTTGAAAGTATAAGGAGCGTTGGTTAATCCAAAAGGCACCACAAACTCGTATTGTCCGTCTATAGCCCGAAAAAGCAGTTTTAGCAATGTCGCGTGGGTACATCCGTATTTGGTGGTATCCTGAACGAAGGTCAAGCTTGGTGAAGCAGGTGGCGTGGCCCAATTCATCAAGCAGCTCATCTATTGTTGGTATTAGAAATTTATCCTTGACCGTGATGGCATTTAATGCTCTGTAATCCACGCAAAATCGGTACGTACCATCTTTCTTGCGCACCAATAGGACTGGTGAGGAGAAAGGGCTATGACTAGGCCGAATAATTCCTTGAGATAACATTTCCTGAACCATCTTTTCAATCTCCATTTTCTGAAAATATGGATAACGATAGGGTCGAACATTCACCGGTGCACTTCCCGGTAATAGGTGAATCTGATGGTTTATTTCCCGAAATGGGGGCAATCTCTTTGGGGTAGAGAACACACCGGAAAACTTTTCCAATACATTTGTAATCTCCGGAGGTAACCCAGTGGGAAATTCAACCACATCTCCATGTTCATCGTTATGGTTTGGTTGCCCATCCAACTCCTGAAAGTGAACCTCGTACAGACAATCAAAGTCATCACTATCAATAATTGCTTGCAACTAGTGATATGTAACTTGTGATGACATTGAATGGTCTTCCCCTCTCAGAACCACATGTTTTTCGCACCAATCAAATTCCATTGTCATGGCCGCATAATCATGAAAAACTCGTCCCAGTTGACGTAACCATTGTATTCCAAGAACTAAATCAGGGACTTCGATTGGCAAGACGTACATGTCAACAGAAAATATATTATGTTGTAATTCCAATTCAACAGAGGGACATGAATATTGACAGACCATGTGGTCCCCATGGCCGATTAAAATTTTAATTTATTGGTCGACTCAACCGGTAATCCCAAGGACTCTACCATCGAAGTTTTAATGAAATTGTGCATACTGCCACTGTCAATCAAGACTTGGAGATTTTTTTCCTTAATTTTTCCCGCAATTCGTAATGATCTTGGGTTCGATTGACCAGCTAATGTATTAAGGCTCGAGATATCCGTCGTCACTAACTCCTCATCTGGATTTGGATCATTATTCGCCTCCCCACCTGGTTCGTCATCATCATCATTTCCTAGGAGGTATAAGAATCGGCTTCGGCAGCGGTGGTTAGGAGTATAGCGCTCGTCACAATTATAACACAAACCTTTTTCTCGTTTTGCACGAAGCTCTGCTTCTGTTAGTCGTCGAAGTGGTAACTTGGGAACATTTGGAGTGGGCAAGAGAGGTTGCTGAGTTTCCAAAACTGAAGTAGGTTTCAGAAAGGAATTTTTCTGGAGCTGTGTACTAGAATCTGTATTGGTAGTAAAGGTTGCTGGAAGTTTCGGAGTGTACCCGGAATTTAGAGAATGAGTTGTAGGCTGTGAGAAGTTTGCATGTGGACTGGTCTGATTCCCTTTAGGCCTGATCCGTGAATTGAATCTCATTTCTTCGGCCCGTGCCTCGTAAGCGCGTGCGAGGGCAAATGCTTCCATTAAGGATGACGGACGGTTGAGAAGCAATTCGCGACGAATGTCTGGCTTCAATCCCGTTACAAAGAAACTGATCAACAGAGATTTTGAAATTCCTCATACCTTGTTCATCAGATCTTCAAACGCTGACTGAAATTCAGTGACGGATGTGGTTTGTACAAGCTTGGATAGAGCGCCCTCTGGGTCTTCATATACAGAACTACCAAATCGGTGCTTCAAATTGACCAGGAAAGCCTTCCAATCTGTCAAAAGATTGTTCGATTTCATCCATTGAAACCATGCTGCTGCTTTTCCTTCCATGTGGAAAGAGATGATACGAAGGCGAAACTCTTCAGGTGTAGCGTGAAAATCGAAGAATTCCTCGATCCTGAATATCCACCCATTGGGGTCGGTCCCGTCAAATCTCGGTACCTCCATTTTCATAGATCTGAGAGAAGGTGGTATCTCAGAGGAAGGGGTTGACGATTCAAACGCGTGTGGATGGCGAGACGAAGACCCTGGGGTTCTTCCGGGAACGGAAGTACTGATATTAATTTGGGACTGGAGTTCATCCAGCCCATTATCAACTTTAGCCATATATTGTTGTAAGAGTTGATGAAGGCTAATGGATTGGTTATCAAAATGAGATTGGACGACATTCACAACTTCTGAAATCAAAGTCGGATCAGCCATTTTTCTCTCAACGAAAACACCAAATTGATACGAACAATTTATGAATGCTCTTAGAGTGAGCACTGACTCCAATCAATACAATAGAAAAAGAAGAGTTTAGAAGAGTTCAGAGAAAGATTCAGAGAGAAATGAGGTAAGAAACGTCCTAATACATCATAACTACCCACTACTCTAAAATTACAAGTATTTATCATGGTAACATGCTCCACTACACACTCCCTTATTCTTCCACGTGCTCAACGTATAACATAGTCTTTGTGCCAAAAAGGAGTCTTCTTGTCTCGGGTTGGTTTGGTTGTTGACATGGGTTGGTGCGGAGTCGGGCTAGTAACGGTTTGAGCCGTATCAATCGCCATTTTATATTTTGTTGACAATTTTGTAATAATAATATGAAAATGAAAACAATATATTTGGTTAATTTTGTAGTAATAAAATGTGAGTTCGATTAAAAATAGATATTACAAAAAATATGATTTATACAAAATAATTTAATAATTTAATATCTTTAAGTATTATAATTTGTATTCAATTTTCAGTATAAGAAAAAAAAAAATAAAAAAATTAGCAGATAGATTTTGGAAATTATAGTTTTGAGTTTAGAAGTTTGATATTAATGGACCGTGGAGATCAACATACGATAACATTTTCGCTACAATATTCCAAGTCAATAGGCATGCTATTAGTATATTTTGGAAATACACTTAAAAATACATCTTATTTTTATCGATACTTTTTCGAAAATTATGTTTAAACTGGATATCCAAAAAAATGTTTCCTTATAAATATTCACGTACAAATTTCTAGTTTAGCAGTAGAGTTTAACCACCATAAATAATGGAGGCATGAGAAAAATATGATCACTACAAGAAAATGATGAAATTCCAACGAAAATATATTTCAAGATAATTCTAACGACAATTTTAATGGATATTTCAATGCTATTATTTCCATTGAAATTTTCTTCAATTGATTACAACGGAAATTCTGACAAAAATATTTCTGTTGGATTTTGACGAAACCAACGATAGATTTTCTAACGGGGTGAATATAAAATTCAAACGGAAATTGCATATCAACAAAAATTCTTAAGGTAAAAGCTGCTGGAATTATCAAATTTCATCTAAAATTCCAACGAAAAACACATTCCAACGGAATATTTTCGTTGGAATTTCTGGTGGAATCATTCTAACATAAACTATACCATTGAAATTTCCTTTGAAATATATTACTATAGAATTTTCGGTTAGAATATAACACTTTTTTTTTTTTTTTTTTTTNNNTTTTTTTTTTTTTTTTTTTGCAGTGGATAATGCTTAACGCAGAAGTAAATATAATCACTAATTAGCCTAAAATAACTAAAAATAATAATATATAAGTGTATTTGATCCTCAAATTTACGCTTATATATGTGTGGTCGCAAAAGTGAAAACAAACAATAAAGTTTTGAAAAAATAAAAATAATAAAATAAATATGAGATTTCACATATTTATTATTCAAGTTCACTAAATTTTATAACAAAATAAGTGTTTTTTTAAAAAAATAAAAAAATAAAAAAATTGCATCATTTTATTGACCAAAACTTATCATATGGCCATTTTTCATTAAAAAATAATAGAGTTAATATATATAATTACACATGATACTCCTAGCCGGATTTAGAAAGTGAACCAAACGAGAGAAAACACACAACAGGTTTCTCCTACCTGTTGGCTAAAGTTTTTTGCTTTCATAGTTTGGTCGGCTATCTTTCAAAGTACTCATAAATATAGAATACAATTATTTTTTTTCCTCTTCTTTTTATTCAGTTTTGTACTAAGAATGAATTACAAAGATGGAAGCCCAATACTAGAGCTGAAGCACAACTTGACCCCACCAAGGGTCCCAATGTAGGCCCACGAATCGGGCTCGTCGACCAAGATATCGCCAAGAAGCTCATGTGTGTCCCGAGAAGTGAGCACAGATGACGAGCGATATTCGAGCAGCCCGGAAAGCATGAGGAATATGATTCTTGTCGGTTGTTCGAGATGCCTAATGTATGTAATGCTTGTTGAGGAGGATCCAAAGTGCCCTAAATGTAAAAGCACTGTTCTGCTTGATTTCATGCATGTGAAGTGTCCCAAATAATTTTTTTTTTTTTTTTTTTTTTTCCAGCCACAGTCATAAGACCACAATACAATAATAAGCAATCGAAAAAGATTATGGGCTCTCAATTCAATCTTATTACCAGCCCCCAGTATCTTACAAACATTATTCATGTGTTCAATAATGAATTATAAATAGGTTCAATAAATAAATTTATTCAACATATTTTCCGAAAAAAAAAAAAACGTGAAACAAACCACATACAGCAGATGATAATCTTCCAGGGCCAATGGTCAACTCAAACTCCTACAAGTTTGACATCAGTCGAAGAAAACACAAGACGAGTAGTTGCAGGATCCACGACTAACCATCAGAAAGCAACTTGACCGAAAAGACTCTTGCGTATCTGCAGTCAAATATCGATACATATATATCACATCCTTTTCTTTTCTATTCTATTCATTTTTCGAATCTTCACGACTTTCCTGTTTTCCTTAAATATATAATACGATGCTGTGGATATTTCCAATTTATCTAATGGCGTCTAATTGGAGAAATATTTATTTGAAAATAATGCATCTGAAAAACTAATCGTTCATATCCTTCAACCTTCATGAAGAAATAAATTTCCATAATTCGCACAGAAAAATAAAAAAAGGTTCGGTTAAAAGAGTACCTCGGGCAACTTTTTACGGAATGCAACATCCAGTCTAGCATCAAGGGTGTTTTCAAACACAATCTTCCCATCCCTAGAAGCCAATACCACGCCACCAGAGCTAGAATACAACACGTAGAAAGAGTTACAGCAAAGTTGTTTTAGAGTTAAAATCTGCTGAAGTTCAGAGATGACAGTAGGAGAAAGATGATTTAAATTAATGGTTAGTTAAAATAATGTGAGCGGACGAAAAGTGAATTAAAGTTGACATGATGTATAAGGATGATTTATTTATATTATTTAATTATATTAATAATATTGAAGATAATGAGGTTGTGTTTTAAGTGAGTTAGATTTTGAGTATGGATTGGGTTATTTTTATAAGCATTATTACCAGAAAGAACCGTGCGCATTTTTGTGTGATGGTGCAGGAGGAAGGTTAATGTTATCAACTATGATCTCAGGTGGATGAACGTTTGCCTTCTGTGCATACTCATCTTTTGCCGAGTCCAAGACAGAATTCACCAGCTGCGCATCCTCTTTACGGCACCGTAATAACACAGATGGTTCCTTCAGCCTCAACAAACTCTGAAAAGCAAAAGTAACATTATCACAAATATGTGACGAGCCCATGCCTAAAGCCAATTAAATAAAAAAAAAAAAAAAAAAAAGAAAAATGACAACTCAATTATAAAAACTGGAAAATCGACAGTTTTTGGTAGTCATGGCAGCATGTCAAACAGGTGGTAATATATTAATATCTTTAAACAATGCATAACATTATAAGAAATAAAGTAACACAAAAATATAAGAAATTAAGTAACTAAATATATAGAAATCACTAAAAAAAACTCGATAAAGTAATGATATAAACTAAATAGTGTTGTATAATGGAAGGACGAGAGAGCGAAATTTTGCCTTCTTCCATTCCAATTCACAAAACCGTTATCTGACCTCACAAGATTGTCACCTTCCTTGTTCTCAATTCATTTACTTTCAAGCAGGAGATATATAACTGTTTTAAGCATCTAGAAAATATCAAGCACTATGCATAAAAAACTAAGATTATTCAATTGCATACAACTCTGGATCAATGACATTCTTGGCTTCCATTAGCGCCACAAAGTCCAAAGCTTAAGAGAAACTTATGAAAAGTTAAATATTACATAGCAAAGAGGAATTGCTTTTGTATATGCTGCAATATACCTAACACGGGAGGAAATGGTCAAAGGAGCAGCATGGCTAATCAAACTATTTTTTTTCACTAAATTCTTTTCTTTGGAGAAGTATTTGCATATGTTTCGAAGTGTTACGTGTAAATTGCAGATAATATAATCTATTAAGACTTACTAAATTATCTTTTCTTTGGAGAAGTATTTGCATATGTTTCGAAGTGTTACGTGTAAATTGCAGATAATATAATCTATCAAGACTTAGTTTTCAAAACCTGAATGATGAGATCCTTCAATAGGATCCTGTAGTTTTCATTGTCACGGCTGACATTCAAAAGTTCCTTCGACGCTGCCTCCTTCATGGAATTCACCAAATCATCCTGTGCTTGAAGAACCTTGATTCTAGAAGCATTCAGTTGCATCGAGTATTCGCTACAACAACCAAATTACCAACAAAAATCTTAGTCAGGTGGCATCAAAATCAAGTTCAAAGCTTGAATAATTAAAATAAATGTACTAAAGTTCATTTTATCATACATCAAATTCTCACGTCCCGCCTAGTTAGAATCTAGAATCTCGATCTCAGGAGAACGAACTCTGAGGTACACTAAAAACGCGTTTTTTTTTACTTTCAAATTCCGATCTCACAATGTAATTGCAGAATACAGAAATTCACAACCCAATTAACAAACAAAACAAAAACCACTCACGAATCAGCATCGAGAACCCGCAAGTTAACATGGATTATTTTCTTCTTCAACTTAATCCACAATCAAGTATCACATAAAATCGAAACAATGTTTCAAGTGGAAAGACTTGCACAAAACGAAAAGACATAACAAAATAGAAAAACCATAAATTCAGAAACTATACATTTTCTTGCGGATTTGGACTTGCTTCTCCTTGCGCTCATATTCCTGCCTGATCTTCTTCTTCTCCGCTTCGACCAGCTGCAACTTCTCGATGTTGAATTCCTGCACCAAAACAACAATAATAATCATAACGATCACAGTAAAATCGAGAAACCACAAAAAAAAAAAGTAAATCACAAAAAGGGGCCGGAACACACGAACCTCCTCGGCGGAGACGGAGATCTCGTTGGCCTTCTCCTCCGCTTCCTGGCGGATGAAGCGGACCATCTGCTGGATCTGCTTCGAGACGTCGGCGTCGTTCATGGTTGCTGGTGCGAATCGGGTCCTGCTAAACGGGTTCGGGTATTCGCTGGAAAATGGCGTTTTTGTCTGGTGGAGATCTCTGTATATGGGAAAAACTGGACAGGTTGTTAATAAGAACGATGGCATAAAGCTCTTATTGGGAGACAACTGTGCGATCGGGTCGACCAACAGATTAGTCGGAGCATAACTTAAGAACAATGCATCAAATAAAGTGTTCTTTTCCTATTTAGAACTCGTTTTCTTCGCACCACGATTTTTGTCTTCTATTGAGATATTTTTTCAAGAAAACAAAATAAACAAAACGTGAGCTCCGCTTGTATAAATTCGGGTCGACTCATTTAATAAACATTAAAAATTAGATCAACACATGAAACTCTAACTTAGTTAATATTAAACACGTTTGATTTGACTTATTTGATAGATAAATTCAATTAATAGTTCGAGCTTGATTAGTTAACATACAAATTAATCGAGCTAGTTTTCACAAATCGAAATTTTGCAAGAGCCACAAAAAATTGGCTAAGCCTCTACGAACACCCCCAATATGTAAGAATAAAACTACGGAACAATACTCCAATCTCTATTATTTTTTTTTTTGGTACAGGGATCTTCCGGTTTCCGGATCTATATGGGAACCGACTAATCCGGAATCGAGCCGGGTAGGACCACAAGAGCGGCAAAGCTCTCCCTCAAGAGTTTCAATCTCTATTATTGACTAATGGCTAAGCATATTTGAGAAAGATAGAACGGTTGCTGGGAAGCCGAGTGCCTCTATTTTTTTTAGAGGCAAACTCGTACGCTTTGGAACTTTATGTGGCAAATTTTCATACTTTGTCACTTGACTCGGATGGATTTTAATTAATTTTCAATCAAAAAATAACTAGGCTTGAAATATTCATATATATACTGATATTTATGAATTTTTTAAAAGCATAATTATGTTTTAATATTATTTCCTATTCTAGACTTGGTTTATAAACCATAATTTTTTTCTCCAATCTATCTTTTTTCTTCATCGTTAATTTACAATTATAAAAAAATTATTTAACATAAATTATAAAAAATGTTTAATTGTTAATTTATTTTATTAATTTATTATCAATTTTCATACAATATATCAAATTAATCATGTCTTGATGAATTTAGATTTGACATCTATATTCCAAATAAATAAATAAATTTATGTTGATAATAAAAAATTAAATTAAATATTAATATTAATTAAAAAATTATTAAAATTAATCTAACTACAAATTATTTATATGCTATAAGACCAAAAAATTATTGTAATATAAAATGTTACGCGGTGAATGTCATTTTGAATATAAATAAAAATATAATCTAACAAAAAAATATTTAAAAATTAAAAACTAATTTCTAATTTAGTTTTAAATATAAATTTCTTAACAAGCACTCGTATAATACACGAGCATTATACTCGTTAAATTCACACAAAAAAAAAGCATAGTAATAATTATTTTTCAATTCGAAAATGGTATATACACAGACAGACGCAGAGGCTAAAAAATCTCATGAGGGCCTCAAAAGGGGTGGTCCAAAATTGTGTAACTTGTCACAAATTTGGATCATTATATTTTCAGTTTCATTTTTCTTCTTTTATGTGTTTTTTCACCAATGGCCAACGTTTTGCAAAACCCTGCACAGTGCATCTGCTTCTCATCAGCTCCCACAAATGGCAAAATTAACAGATTATTTCGTGGCTCCAGTTCGAGTTCGAGTTCGAGTTCGAGTTCGAACTCTCTCATGGCCACCAGAATTAGGATTATGGCTGTGGAGGCAAAAAAAACAGAGGACATTAAAAATCCATCCTCTGCTGCTGATGAAATTACCAAGAAATATGGCCTTGAAGTTGGGCTCTGGAAGGTACGTACTTTTGCAGTTTGCTTTAAATATAATTAGATGATTTAGGGAAAACAAAAGTAGGGTTCTTGAACAGGTGTTATGAAGTATGTGAATCTGAATTTGAAACTTAGTTCTGGTTCATGTCCGAACTCGAACCTGATCCGCATTACCCTTTGTGGAAATTTTCGAGTTCCCGTGTAGTTTGATTTCCATTCACAAATTCTACCCGAATGCAGATATTCTCGTCAAAAGAAACAAACGAAGAAAGCAAAGATACGACCAAGTCGAAAGGAGACCAAGCAAAGGAACTCCTAGCAAAATACGGAGGCGCCTACTTAGCAACCTCCATAACCCTTTCCTTGATATCCTTTGGGCTATGCTATTTTCTAGTAAGTGCCGGTGTAGACGTGCCGGCATTGCTGCACAAGGTACCATCTTCTTCCTCACAAACCGATCCCATCATCTTGCATTATAGCTAAGGCTATTTTTTGGTAAACCTAGCTATTTTTTTTTAGCTAAAATCTAGCTTATAGTTTTTAATGAATTTTGAGCTTATAGCTGATAGCTTTTGACTTATAGCTGAAAAACTAGAATGCTTGTAAAATTAGCTAATAAGCTAGCTGAAACGAAAAATTTTATGGTTTCTTTTGAAAAGCTAACCAAAGAAATTTACAAGATAAGCTCATCCTACCAAACCAAACTTATTTGAATACAAGAAACTTATAAGATAATCAATTAGAGTATAAGTTAGCTTATAATCTTACCAAACATAGACTTGGTCACTTTGTTTCTTAACTTGTATTATAGCCAAATACATGAGAATACCAATGGTTAGGTTACTTTGTTTTTGAACTAGTTATTACTTTATTTTGTAGGTTGGGATCTCGACTGACGAGACAGGTGAAAAGGTCGGGACTTTTGCATTGGCTTATGCTGCCCATAAGGCAGCCTCGCCTATTAGGTTTCCACCCACTGTGGCCCTTACACCGATCGTTGCTAGTTGGATCGGGAAGAAAGTCGAGCAGGAAAAAGTATAAACGTTGTGACAAAAA